CGTCGTCGCCCTCAAGTTCTCCACCACGGGCAAGTTCCTTCTTTCGGCCTCGGCCGACTGCTCCGTCCGCCTCTGGTCGCTCGAGGTCTTCGAATGCGTCGGCGTCTACCGCGCCCACGTCTTTCCGGTCTGGGCAGTTGACTTCGCCCCAAACGACTTCTACTTCGCATCAGGCGGGGCTGACAAGCAGTGCGTCGTCTGGTCCACCAGAAGTGGCGCACCTGAGAGACTCATCCTCAGCAGCCTCAGTGACGTCACAGCAGTCAAGTTCCACCCTAACTCCTCCTACGTCTTCACTGGGTCGTGCGACTACAAGGTCAGGATGCACTCCCTCGATGATGGCGCAGTCGTACGCACGTTCGTAGGCCACTCCGACTCGATCACGTGCATGGACGTATCATGCGATGGGAAGCTGCTTCTGACTGGGTCACGTGACAAGCGGATCATCCTCTGGGACATCGAGAAGGCCCAGAGCATCGGGACGTATCACGGCCACGAGGGGGCAGTCTACTCGGTCTCATTCAGCTACTTCGGGTCGATATTCTGCTCAAGTGGAGCAGACAACTCAGTGCGACTGTGGGAGAAGCAGAGTACGCCAAACAAGGAGCCAATGCATTCAGTTGCAACCTACTACACCAAGAATACACCGATAGTACAGGCTAAGTTTGGATACAGGAATATCATATCATGTGTAGGGCCATTCACGGGTTAGTGAGTGGTAGTAATAGAGAGGGTGATAAGGGTGGTAGCAGTAATAAGGATAGTGGTAGTAGTAAGGATAGGATAGTAGTAAGAATAATAGTAAGGGTAGTGGTAGTAATAAGGTTAGTAATAAGGATGGTGGTAGTAATAAGGTTAGGATAGTAAAGATAGTAAGGGTAAGGATAATAGTAAGGATAGTAAAGATAGTGGTAAGGGTAGTAAAGGTAAGACTAGTAAAGATAGTAAGGTTAGTGGTAGTAATAAGGATAGTGGTAAAGATAATAGTGGCAAGGGTAGTAAAGATGATAGTAGTAAAGATGATAGTAAGGTTAGTAGTGGTAAGGTTAGTAAGGATGATAGTAATAAGGATAATAAATATAGTACGGTTAGGATAGTAGTAAAGATAGTAATAGTAAGGGTAGTAAAGATAGTGGTAATAAGGATAGTGGTAGTAATAAAGATAGTAATATTAAGGGTAGTAAAGATAGTAGTAATGATAGTGGTAGTAACAATAATAGTAACAATAACAGTAACAATAACAGTGACAATGACAGTGACAAGAATAGATATACTCAATTCAATATACCCTTATTCTACTATTTCTATTTCTCCTTCAATTCTACCTTATTACTCTTGTTACTCCTCTCACTCTCCTCTTCCTGTCCATCGTATTCTTTTATCTTTTCTGTCCTTGGCTCTGCTTCTCTTACGATCTCCTTAGTTGGTACAATCACTGTCTGTATCTCAAGTGGTGGATCCACAAACTGCTCCTTCAGTGCTGCCATCCGCATGGCCTCCTTGAAGTCTGCGTCGTCGTAGTTGTCCTTGTGTCTCCTGTATCCACCCCTGTAGTCCTCGACCATGTCTGCCTCCACCAGCCCATACGTGAGCTCCTTGCCGTAGAAGAGGACGCAGTAGGAGCTGTCTGATACGTCGACGTCCTTGTGGGAGAGATACGCCTCTGCTATGTGCTCTGACGCAATGCGTCCTGGCCAGTGGGAATACTCCTCNAAACTGCTCCTTCAGTGCTGCCATCCGCATGGCCTCCTTGAAGTCTGCGTCGTCGTAGTTGTCCTTGTGTCTCCTGTATCCACCCCTGTAGTCCTCGACCATGTCTGCCTCCACCAGCCCATACGTGAGCTCCTTGCCGTAGAAGAGGACGCAGTAGGAGCTGTCTGATACGTCGACGTCCTTGTGGGAGAGATACGCCTCTGCTATGTGCTCTGACGCAATGCGTCCTGGCCAGTGGGAATACTCCTCGTACTTGGCCCATACGATGTCACCGCCCTTGAATCTGGTAGTAGTTGCAGCAGTCTGCTCAGATTGAGATGGCATCTTAGTCTGCTCCACTGACATTAGGGTGAAAAATAAGTAAGTTGTAATCCAAGAAATCAAACACTATAGCTAAGGGTTTATTTTATAATTACTGTAATAAATACCACCCTAATTACAATAGTAACTACAACACTACCTAATTACAATACTACCACCCTAATTATAAATACAAATATAAATACAAATATAATTACAACACTAACTACCACCCTAATTATAAATACAACAATATTTACCTCTCAAACTTACTCAGAATGTGCTTAGTGAATGGTATCACCTTGATATCCTTCAGATACTTCCCTACAATCCCCTTCATTTTCCCCTTCAACTCGTCATCCACCGTATCAAAGTACTTCTGTACGACGTAATTTGCGTACATGTCAGTGCACATGTGAAAGAGGGCTGGCCGACTGTCAGCACCAACGCGACTGAACGAGACGAGAAAGAGCCTGAGCTGCTCCCTCGTTGCGTTGCTCACGCACTTCTCTATCACGTTGCTGCTGAACTTGTATTTTGATAGTTCGACTGCATTTTCGATGATGTGGTCGAAGATGGTGGCTCTGACAGCGTAGTCCGACTGAATGACGTGTTGGATGACGTAGTTTCCGTATCGGTCGTTGATGAGGCGAGAGACGTTCTCTGCGATTGATCGAAGGAGCGAGGCGACCTCTGCTGGCTGCGACAGCTCGAAGAGGCGCTGAAGGACGCGACAGCCGTAGCGCTGCTGGGCGAGACCGATGCAGTCTCGTTCGAACTCGCGGATGAGTCCCAAAATGAAGGCGCGACCAGCAGGCGACTCCTGCGATCGGTCGATGCACTTTTGGACGACGTGGTTTC